ACTTTTCACTCATGTCAAGCCCAGTTTGGGTGGTCCCTGTCCAGGCTCCCACCACTTGGGACTTTGCCATCTCAGAACTTGGACTCCACATGTGCTGTGAGTGGAAAAGAGCAAGTGTGCAATAATTCCTAAATGTCCAGCCCAGAGTGACAAATCTCTCTGCCCGAGATCTCATGCAGGTAGAGCTGAGAAGTGTAGCCCCCACGCTCCTAGGAAGGGAAGGCAAACCAGATGTGTGGACATCAAGGTCTAGCATGAGGGAATATGATGCCCTCAAATTACTGAGATCACACCATCCTTGCATGGGCTAAATGACATCCATTAACTGAGATTGTGCCATCCTTGCATGGAGATGACAGCCATTAACTTACTGAGATTATGCCATCCTTGCATTTTGCATTTATGAGATAAGCCCAACTTGGTTGGGAAGTATTGATTTTGATGCATTGTTGGTTGGGGGTTGCTAAAGTGGTAAGTTTTTCATTAGCATTCATAAATTAGACTGATCTGTAATGATCTTACGATCTTGCCAGAACTTGATGTTATAGGTCATTTATAAACTGAGTTAAGAAGTGTTTCCCAGCTAGGCTCAGTGGCTCAGTCTGTAATCCCAGCACTTTGGGAGTCCGTGGGTTGGAGATCAGCCTGGGCAACCTGGCAAGACCTTGTTTCTACAGCAAATAAAAAATTAGTCAGGCATGGTAGCATGTGTCTGCAGTTCTAGCTATTTGGAAGGCTGAGGTGGAAAAATCACCAGAGCCCAGCAGGTTGACGCTGGGGTGGCCGTGAGTGTGCCACTGTACTCCAGCCTGGGCAAGAGTAAGACTCCAACTCAAAAAAAAAAAAAAAAAAGTGTTTCCTTTTCCCTTTTTTATTCTCAGGTGTGTTTATGTAAGACTGAATTTACTTGTTTTGTAAAAATGACCCGTTGAGCCTGTCTGGACCTGATGTCGGTGGGTGGATTTCAAACCAGGCCTAATTAATGCCAAGTACTACTTCTTTGTAGCACTTATCATGGTTGTGATAATTTTACTTGTGTGGTTTTCTTGATTAAGAGGATTGAAGGAGATAAAGCAGTCTGGAAAGTGCTTGGTACCCCAAAATGCCCTCCCGAAACTGTTCCAAGTATGAAGACCTTAGGAGACAGAAACTGTTATTACCCTGCTTCTACCTGGGGAAACTGGGAGGCAAAGAAGAAAACCACTTACCCTTTGGCTTATCAGATGCAGACTCAGGATGGAGCCCTCTGTAGCCAAGGGCTAAATTCCTCCAGCTTGTTGCCAGCAAATGCAGGACTCAAATGGCCCAAGCTCTGCCTTGGGTTCCTAAATAATGCACCCCCAGTGAATGAATGAATGAATGAAGAATGAAAGAACAGTGACCTCAATGCACACTGAGCCTACCTCATCCCACTGGGGGAAACACTGGGCAGCCATTGTACCCTAGAAGTTCAGCCTTGTACAACCGGGGGCAGCACCCAGATCGCTGACCCAGAGGTCTGAATGCAGGTGGGCGGCTTGGGGAGCAGGGGCCCCTCGGCCCAAGCCCTTCTGTGGGGCTGCAGGTTTGGGTTAGAGCAGATATCAGAGCCTCCTGGGTCAGTGGCTAAGCACACATATTCCCAGGCCCTGGGTGGTGACCTCAAGAGGAGGTGTGGAACCCAGGTGTTTACTCTGTGACTGTGATTTCTCTCTGGTGAACGCTGCTGCCCCCCAGTCACCAAGCCCAGGGTAGGTAGCAGCAGTCCTTCACAGGGAAGGCTCAGGCCTTAGGTCTGTCTGGTCTGTCACCTTCTGGTACCCAGGGGGCGTCTGGGCCAGACCAGGCTCTCGGTGTTGCTGGCAGGTAGGGACTATGGGGGTGGGGGACGCAGGAGTGGACTGGTCTTTTGGGACCTCCGTGTGTCCACTTGCCACACTGGCCAGCAGCAGATCATGGGCAGCCTGAGGGTGAGGGACCTGCCTGAGGACACGAATGGCAAAGGAGAAAGCAGTAAGGCCCTGGCACCCCGGGAGGCTAACGGGAGGCTCTGCGATGCTTGGCACACAGCAGGCCCTCAGTCAGTGAGGAAGGGCTCGCCTGAAGTGGGAGGTCCCTGCCGTGAGGTCAGCCCGGAAATACTTGACTGCTCCCTTTGAAGGGACAGACTTAAGCTGCGGCATTCTGGGCTGGGTGAGAGGAGTCCACCTGGGGTGGCGTCTGAAGGGGAGGTCCCCCTTTCTCCGTCAGGTTCTGGTCTCCGGGCGCCTCTGCGTCCCCAGGTACAGAGGTGCAGCAGCCCTGGGCTTTCCCGGGCTGTCCTGCGGGTACCTCCTGCAGGGCTGAAAGCTGGGGGTTGGGAGCCAGGGCACGCACCAGAGGACCTACGCCGACACTGTGCTCCCCTGGGGATTAAGGCTCAGGCGCTCAGTCTCACTGCTGTGCAGGTGCAGGGGGCGGAGACCCTGGGACGCAGGGGACGGTTCTGGGAGATGACGAATGGCCTCCTGAGCTGTTAAGCCCCATCCCTTGCTCCATGCGGAGGGAACACAGCCCACTCAGGGCAGGGGCGGGACCAGGACCCCCACGTTTTCTGCAGGCGGCAGGGCCTGAGCCCCCGAGTGCTGTCTTATGGGGGAAAGGGACACAGGGCACACCTGCACGAGGCACACTATGCACGGTGGCGCTTCCAGGTGCGGAGAAGCCACGCCAGACCTGTGTCTGCCGAATGCCACCCTAGAAACTTTTTTCCCCCAGAACACTGTGGTGAAGGGGTGGCACAGCTCTTATGCAGGAACCCATTTCCAGGGCACATGAATGAGACATGAGTCCAAGAGGGAAGGTTCGGAAAGGAGCCGATGCTGGTGACATCCGTCCCCCTCAGCCAGAGCTGCCCCAACAGTGGCCAGCAGGCCCGGCGATGGAGACGGATGGCACCCAGGCCCAGGAGCCCGCCGCGAGGGGTCACAGAGGCGGCAAGGGCGGCACGACGTAGCTCGGATGCCACGTGAATTGCACACATGCAGCCTGCGGCGCAGACACGGCCCGGGGCCACTTTCATCGGTTTATTCTCTTTTCATATAAAAGTTACACATTTGAAATGTCTGCAGGAAGATGCCACTATCAGACGGGTTAGTTGGGGGATACATATTACAATGTAACACTGGGGAGCTCGTGGGGCGGGTCACGCTCCTCAGAATCGGGGTTCAGGTCAGACACGAGGTGTGCCCCCGCCCCCCCCACCTGCAGGCGAGAACTGACCGTCTCTGTCTGTAAAGACTCATTCCCACACCCACCCTGGCACCCCAAGAAACAGACTCGCCATGGCCAAGCTGTGGCACTGAGCACTGAGCACGGGGACACCTGTCAGCCAATAAGTTAAAGAGACACAGTGCACCTGGCTCTCCCATGCGGGGAGCCACCCAGCACTGCCTGCCTACTGCCTGGGCACCTCTAAGACCACCATGGTCTTCCAGCAAGGGCAGGGATGCTCGGGCCCTCCGGGGATGGGCACAAGCCTGCGCTGTGTTTGGGAAAGGCAGAGACCCTGCCGCCCTCCACCCAGCCCTGTCCACAGACGCTGACCTCCCACGGCCTGGTGAGCGGCCTGGGTCTCCGAGGCTGCAACACAGCTTGGCACTTGCCTGTGGCCCAGAGGGGACCCCCAGGGGCTCTCACAAGCACAGGGAGTTTGGCTTCGCACAACCCGAGGGCCTGTGAGCAGAGCGGGCCTCACACGGGCGCCTGCAGCAGCATTCGACAGAGCTGGCCAGGAAGGGGGCGAGAGGCAGAGGTTGAAATGAAGGGACTTGAAGAAGAGGGAACAAACGAAAAACCCAAGCCCACACACAATACTGTCAACAAACCAGCGACTCTACACACACACTCTTTAAATAATAAAGTGACAGGTTCCGCCGGCCTGCTAGGAGGAGCTGCTAGGAGGAGCCCCCTGACGTTTCACAGGTTCCCTCTTCTCTATGTACAGGACAAACTAAACACGAAAGAGGAGCCACAGCCCATGTTTCCTTCTTGATAAATGCGGCTCAGAAACCCTCGGGGGACGCAAAGTGACGTGGCCGTGGTAGAAAAATCCCAATTGTCCACGGATGTTGCTTTCCACGTTTGCCCTTGGTTCTGCTTAAACTGGGCTAAGTAAGCACAGGGGACCGTGGTGCTCACTCGCCCGAGTCCCAAGCCCAGGAGAAGCGAGCGCGCATTCATGAGGTGCAGGACCGGGACCCGGGGGGAGGCCTAGCTTCCGGGCAGCACCTTGCCCGCAGGCCCGTGCGCTGCCAGGGAGTAAGGCGGGGTGTGGCGAGTTCTGGCAGGCACCTCTGTCTGTCTGCCAAGTGCCTGCAAACCTCGCCCTGGATTGTCGCCCTCTGCAGCGAGCAGGCGTCTGAGGAGGAGGCGGGAAGGAGCACAGGCCCTCGAGGACACTCTGCCCGGGAGGAGGGCCTGCCGCCCCGCCCAGCCCTAGGCCTCTGCCTGCCCACACCCCGGGGACCGGCCAGGCCTCTGGAGGCCTTTCCTCTGCAGGAAGTGCTGACGGCACTGGCAGAAAGGTCTCAAGAGCCTGAAGAAGAGCCCACTGGCTGCCCTAGAGGGAGAAGGGGGGAGGGAGCCAGTGGGACCGGGAGGGACAGGAGATGGAGTTTAAGGCACACAGCAAGCAACGGGGGGTCAGGGAGCTGCTGGCATCGCTCTAGGACAGAGAAGGCTAGAGAAGGCCCCGCCGTCCCCCTCTGGGAACTCAGCCACGTGGAGCTCAGCTCTGGCCCCGCTCAGAGACGGTGAAAAAGATCCCCAGCACGACAAGTGTTCCTTTGACGACCAAGCCCCGCTTCCTCGGGCCTCCTCTTCCCAGCTACCCAGAGTGCCAGGTGGCGGGGCGTGGGGGGCTGAGGGGCCACGTGATGACACACCCTGCTGCTGCTGAGGTCCCGCCACAGCGCCCTGCCCACGCCATGGCCCGGGCTGCCGTCGGCAGGGCGGCCGAGGCGCCTGTGCGTCCCTTCCTGTGGGTCAGAGGCAGGAACTGGAGCGTGGAAGGGTCCCGGCCTGCTCTGCCCTCTGCCCAGCGGGCGGCAGCCCCTCACTCAGGGTCGCCTGGAGGGCAGCCTGCCCAGAGAGCTTCAGGCCGGCTCTCTTCTGCCGTTTTGAAGATTCAGGGGCCCTCAAGCTGAGGGAGGAGGAAGACTCCCGGCTCCTTGGCCTGCTGCTGCTGGCTCTGCTGCTCCCAGGCAGGAGGGGAGTGGGTAGGAGGGCCGGGGGAGGACAGAAGTGAAAGCAGAAAACAAACCAAACCGCCAGTTTGCAAAACCGTAACAAGACCTGCCTGCTGGCTCCACTGCGGCCCATCTGCTCTGGGAGGAGCGAGGCAGGAAGCGGCCGACAGGCTCCAGGCTCCTGCCCGGCGTGGCCGAGGCCCGGCCGGCCCATGGCTCTCAGGCCGGGACCCTGCAGTGCACCCAGCAGGTCCAGAGTCCCCTCCGGGCTCGGAGCCGCCCTCTGTGCTCTCGAGTTCTCCTCGGTCCGGCACCTGCTCCTAGGTCTTCTCTTCCCGGTCTGTCTTCCTCCTGGTTATGTTCCTGGGCTTAATTTTCAGAGAGAGTTCCCATAGGGCCTCCTCAGCCAGGTGGTCGCTGAAGTCGTTGAAGAAGTTAATGATGTCATCGTTTCTCCGGATGTCATAATGCCTGGTGCCAGGGACAGAGAGGCGGTCAGTGAGAGCCGTGTGGCTGTGACAGCCTGTCATGGGCGCCAACCTCTCGGAGGGGGCCGTGTTGGCCACACTGACACCCCTCACGGCAAACTGCCATGGCAGAGGCTACCATTACCCAATATGGCAGAGAACGCCAGTGCTCAGAGCTGGCACCACTGGCACACAGAGCACAGGTGGGCACACATGGGCCCTGCAGCCGGGCTCACCACAGGGAGACTGCAGAACCCACAGCCCCCATCCCTGCACAGAGCCCCGGGTGGACCCAGCACGGTAACGGTACCGCCACGACCCACCCTGGGTGGGTTCTGGTACTCCACCCAGCCTGCCCCTGCTGCCTTGGAGTCAGGCAGGTCAGTGCCTGCCAGCAAGGTGAACATCTGCTTCCTGGTATGCAGAACAGGACGACAAGACGTGCTGTCACTGGCTCTGGGCCCAGGGCCAGGCCTGGTGCTGAGCCTGTGACGGATGTTCTCGCGCTGGCCTGACAGAACCCAGAAGGAACTAGGGTGACTCCGCTCAGCAGACGGAAGCCCTGGGTCCTCTGTGGCCCCTGCCCGGGTCAGGGGCTGTGTCTCCAGCTCTGGAGTCAGACTCAGTCCCGCCCCGCCTCCTCCCGGGCGGCAGCACTCACGCCTGCTGGAAGCACCGCATGCTGTCGAGGATGTTGAACTGCTGCCACCGCTTGGAGAAGTTCACTTTCCCGTCAATGTAGTCGGGGTTTCCCAGGTGGACGAAGGTCAGGTCCTGCAGGATCAGCCCCCTGGAGGACAGACGCGGAAGCCTGTGACTGCGACGGAGGGCGACCTGGGAGGCAGCCGGCTCACCTCGGGTCCCCGCACCTGACCAAGGGCTCTGGCCCGCGGCTCTGGGCTGGGCCTGCACAGCTGCCGGGACCCAGAGCAGACGTAAGAGCAAGTCTGGGTCAGGCACTCTGGACCACAGGCCCCTGGAGGCGCCCTGAGAAGCCAGTGCAGGTGCTGGGGGAGCCTGAGAGGGGACCAGGAAAGGACAAGGGCGCAGGGGTATGGGCGGAGCTGGGTTCCTAAGGTAAGATTAATAAGTGAGCAGTAAAAAACACAACCTCAGACTGGGGGCCAGGGCTCGGACCCCCTTTTATAAGCAGATGTGATAACCTAAGAGGTGCTTCTGAACACAGAGGACTTCAGGCTAGATGGGAGAGGTAGGGCAGCTCTTCCACACAGGCAGGACTCAGCCAGAGGGCCCGAGCATGGGTCTGTGACGGCGGAGTGTTCAGTGAGGGCAGAGGCTGAGGGTCAAGACTGCAAGACCTGCGTCTCTGAGGGTGAGGTGTCAAGGGCAGCCTAACCCCAACCCCAAGGATTGCTGCAGCGAAAACTCAGCTCTTCGGGACTGCTGAGTTTCCTGTCTCCTTTTTGGAGATTCTGAATGTCCACTAGTATATTAAAGGCTCTGATAGGTCCTGCAACAAAGAAACTTATTTAGCTTTGATTTTTTCCCAATATTTCTCTTTTCCAGAAACATGCGCTCTGTGCATCCTGGGGCCCACACTCAGGATGCACTTTCTGAGTGTCTGGATGTCAAGTGCTCTCAGGGCTCGGGGTGACGGTGGACCCTCAGATGTTCTAACAGGCAGCCAGCCGTGAGAACCACTGGACACTGCACGACGCCCCAGGTGAGAAGAAAAGCGTGCCTGAACATGCTCACTGGCAGGCTATTGAGGCCATGGGAATGGGGCCGAGAGCCAGGGAAGGGGGGTTTTTATTTTGCACTTGACAGTTTTCTGTTTAAAATGCATCACAAGGGCCGGGCTCGGTGGCTCAGCCTGTAATCCCAGCACTTTGGGAGGCCGAGGTGAGTGGATTGCCTGAACCTGCGGGCTCGAGACCCGCCTGGGCAACTTGGCGAGACCTTGTCTCTACAATAAATCAAAAACTAGCC